AATTCCTCCAATTTTAATATAATTTCGATTGCTAGTTATAAGTATTTCAGTGAAAGCTGAAATTCTATATATGCTGGTGATAATTTCGCTAAACATTGCATTTAATTTGTATTTGACTGTATAAAAATGCAATGTATTATCTACTTCTTTAGATATTTACACATCTAAAGTTGGTACACGATGTTACACTACTCATTTTCCCTTATACAAGTATCTCTTACAATGAGTATTTCTTGACTAGTAGCTTGTATATATTTTTCAGCATAGGTTATTGCAAGAAATGAATGATAGAGTATTAATTTTTTTCTGCTGTAGTTGTGGTACTTTTTTGCTGAGTACTTTATTAACTGAATTTTTAGTGACCTGATGAGCATTGAAGATTTTAAATTAATTCATTCTCCATTTCTACTTTTTTGTTATAAATAATTATGAAACAATTAGTGTATGATATTAGTTAAAATATTACTTCCGGGATGACGATAGTGTTATCGAGTTAATATATATATATAATTATAATATATGTATTTTAATTCTGTGAATCAGATTAACTAATTATTAGCTTTACGTCAGATGTCTTTTATAGTGATCCGTTTGCGATTATATTGCAATTTCAATTTTATTTCTTTCTGTCTTTGTTAGGCTTAAGATTGTAACGATCTTTATTGCTTGAAAATTTATGCAATAGTTTTGATTTCTGCTAATTTTTGCATGTTTCACGATCCAGCATGTATATATACAACATGAAGGGTAGTAGTAATTGATGATCGCATACAATTTTGACTGGTGTATATTAAACAACCTATTGAGAAAACAAAGCAAATTAATATGTTAACTAAATGATCTTCTGTTTATTCACCTAAATCGGTGATTCATAATGTTTGTACACATACGTTAAATGATGTATTTACCGAGAAAGAATACTTGGTCTATTGAGAGAGTAATGAAATAAAATTATTCTTAAAATGTAAACTATCTATAAGAAGCTGTGTCACAACCCTCACTTGTGGCAAAGGAAAGTAAAGAACTCTAGTGTAGTTACTTAAAACTTGGGCTATTTCTCCCAGTACTTTCAGTTTCTATGAGAGAAGTATTTGAGAACTCGATTTCTCGGCTGATCTCTACAGACAACTGACTAATTATTACACTATTCTTCACGATATGAGTCTTGCCGTTTCTTGAGCAATTACTTACTTTATTCTACTAACACACGCGCTTAAATAGGTTTCTACAGTGAATTCCAATATTAACGAGTGAGAATTCATGCTTTACAAGTTACATTAATTAGTATAATACCATTACTAAATATACATGTCGATATTCTCAGACTTAGATAGCTACAAGCTATCAGGTGTTAAGACGCTTAACCTTCGTTCATATACAGCTCAATTTTTAGAGATTAACACACCTTATAAACCTACGTAAATTAACTGCTAACAACTTCTATTTTTATCTCATTTCTACCATCCTATTATCAGCTACCAGCGCATTAAAACATAGCACATAACCTTATCTTATCTATTCATAAGCATTCATTAATTTACAGTTACTTAATTAGTAACGGCGTACCGTGGCAAGCTGAAAGACGTTGTACAATATTTTGATCATTTGTAACGTTAAATATACTACGACGGTAGTGCTTATAAATTTTCAATTACAACTTATCTGAATGGCTATATAAATAAGTTGATGATTAATAGACGCTACATCGTGATTATACGAATAATGTAAACGCTAATATCTTACAATTGTATTATAGTATTGATAAACTTTAGTGAGTAGGACAACTCTAATTTAGCAGCTTAGGCAACGTCTACTAAATCATTTACAATTCCATAAACGTTCTCATGTAATTTATCGATCTGTAGATCAACTGTGGTTAGTGTAAAATCAGATTATAAATCCCAATAATAACATCACGTATACGAATTATGATAATACGGGGTAGACTTCGCGACTTTTTCCTTCAAAACTGAATGCGTAACTTTGACATTATAAGCGGATAAGCCATTATTTTACTTCCATCATAAGATGGAAATATTAGCTGGAGATGATAAAACGGCCGAGAGATTGGAAAAATTTCGATAGCAATAAATATGAAGGTTTAACAAAGATGTCCTTATATATAAACTAAACCTAAATGAAAGCTATCAAAGACGAAATTTAAGGCTCATTATATAACAAGACAAGAATCGCATGAATTGATTATATATTAAAATATGGAATAAGCCTGTGATAATAGATATAATTTGTATTACAATGTTAGATAGTGTCCTGAACAGTCAAATCTAGGGAGAATTAAGATAGATAAACTAAGCTATTTTTAATTGTCGACTAATTATTTATTTACATTACGAATAATTAGCTCTGTAATGAGTGTATTATGAAGCCTATGATGAAAGTATAGCAGATAAAATTTTATATTCGCATTAATTATTTACATCAGATATCGAATGAAACTGCTATTGCCATTAATTTGCTATAACATAGGTTAATACCTATCCATGATTTTATCTAGAGTAACAGTTTGGGCTAAATTTTTTAATTATATGTTATCCTGCAGCATCAAGCAGAAAATTAAAGCTGATAATCCTTGGATTTATCGATGAAATATGATATTTCATTAGTATATGGTAAAACCGTAAATCGTCTAATCCCATTTTCTTATTTTCTTAGACATTTTACTTAAATTTTATTTACCAGCAATTAGTTTAGTGTATAAGTGCGCTGTCTCAGCTATTAGAAAATTTTAATTTCTATTCTGTTAAAAAAATTACTTTTGTTAATTTCCAACTTTAAATGTTTATACAATTATAGGTATATGTAATTGGTAACATGATAGGTATTATTATTATTATTTTACTTATTTAAAAAGCTACGTTATTTATAGATTACTTCTTCGCGAATTCCTAGAAATGTGATATTGAGGTAATGTTAGCATTTGCTTACAGGGTTGATAACACAAGTACTTAAAATTGGTGCAACACGATAATCTCTAGTATGATCAGATTACTTCTGGATTTTTTTATTGAATCTATACTCGCGTATGTCTATAATTTCATTTATGTCGAGATACATGGATAATATATAGCTTTATTATCATTTATTTATTTGATTGCAATAAACAGATCGTTATTAATAATCTTATTTCATTAAAAAATATTGTATTAAGAAAAAAGGGATAACTTTTTTATTGTAAATTAAATGTCTCATGTTATTATTTAAAAGAAGATTAATGTTAGACTTTTTATAGTCAATACAAGTAGAATAAGTTTTTAATACCATCATTACTAGATAAAGATAATCTCTTATTGAAACTGTTGCTGGTCTAAAACTCATAAGTCATAATGCTATAGCCAATTGAAGCCATTTTACAACTGAATTTCAAATGAGTTAGTATATAAAGTACGCGTATTACGTCTGAAAGTTGAGTTAATGAACATTATGATTGGAATTGATTATTGCTAAAGAACATTATCACAATCATTTAACTAGATAACGGGGTCGATTAATTATGATCAGCTGAAGTTGTTCAAGTTATGACGTCATGATCAAGCCATAAATTGAGATCTAATAATAATAACGATATCATCAGGAAAGTTAACTATATGGAAATAAAAGCATCAGTAAATTTTTATCAAGTCATTAAGTAAAATTATGAACCTAGATGAGTCAATTTCGTTAGTGCACGTAAGCGTGTTCACTATTTTAAGTTCATTCTTTTTACTTTTTTCTAAATGTATCTACATGCTGATTGATGGTATTATTTCTTCATGGAAAATTCTAATTAATATTAGAGATAAGATGAAATAAAATATTATCCACAAGTATAATAGATATTTTCCTGTAGTAAAATTGACCGCGATCTTAAATGTATTATTATGAGCTCTTATCTAAATCAAATTTCTACTCACAGCTTGAAGATATTAGTTTTAAATGATATTTTTTAATTAACAATCTACCCGAAACTGCTCAATATTTATTGAAATCGAGGTAAAGACAAGATATTTATGTAATTGCAGTAACCTATGTTTTCATCTTTTCTTATTCACTTTGGCCAACTTAATTAACGCTTTATCTTAGTAAATACTCTCCTGACATCGCTGCGTGTTATTACTGCTGCTTAATTATTTCTACCTTTGTTTAAGTGCTAAAATACAAATTGTGCACGAATGTACGTATATAGAGATGAATATTTGCACCATATTTATGTATAGTAATGAAGGTGGGCAGATAAATAGGTGTTAAGGAAAAGAAAGATACCATCAATGCAATCTGGAGCTCTTATAGCCTCACAATTTAATTTAATAACTTAATTGGTGATTACAACTTTGAAAAGAGATCATTAACGAAAGTATTTGGCTTGATACCAAATTAGTCTATTATTTATGGAATGGATCTTCCTATTGACAAGATCAGTGGCTCTATTGACTCAGTTAATACGTCTGAATATCGTTGAATAGATCCATAACAATTGTCAACTGCATCTTAAATTGTTGTCGATCGTTCCTTAATTAAACATTGTTACAGTATTACTGTTTAATTTTCAATAGATGAAATTGCAGAATCATTTCACATTCGATATTTGAATTCACTCACTTACAAATAGAGTAGGCATTACATTTATTGGAAGAGTTATACATATTGATTAGTAATTCATACAGATAGGAAAAAGTTAATTGATAATAATTGGACGTCATAGTTTCAATTTCAATATTCTACTCAAGTGCGTTGACAGGTTAAAGAAAATGGATGTGTCTTGTATACTAAATTATTATATCTCAATGAATAATGATCAACTATTTTTGGTATTGTTTTATTACAATAGATTTTAAATAAAAATTCTGAGTTGATACAGCTGGCAAAGAGAAGCTTTTTGCTATATCATTAGTACTGAACTGAGCTTGATTACTGGTAGTTCGTCAATTATTTGCCATTTGATCATCCTGCCTGCGGCGAACGGCAGATCCTTTCTAGCTTTAGTGGAAAGAAATTTTGTCAAGATGGATTTGGTAAGATTTACCTATCTACTGCAGATTAATTGGGTCATCGGGATTACATTATTGTCTTTAGTCATCTTGTTAAATCTTGTGTTAACTGCATTAATATTAGCACGCAAGAAATTATGGAATTCTTCTAATATCTTACTGTGCAGTAAATTTATCTCCTTGATCGTCTCTGCATTAGTTTCATTCCTGCCTTGGGTAACAGCTACTAAGGAGAGTCAATGGTTTTATTATCGGACAGGCTTTGCTATGGGTTTAATTGTAAGCCTTCATATTTGCATTATTTTAGGTTATCGTTACATTTCAATTGAGGCCCCGTTCGCCAGTGAAAGGTATTTAACTGTTAGACGTACTTTACTGGTTCTTTTGGTTATGTGGTGTGTACCACTCTTGGCGACATTAATTCCACTTTTTGCCGTTGGTAGTTCTAATAGTTCAATTGGAAACGTTAATCAATCTCTTGCACTATCTGGTTCAATGACGAAAGAATCAATCTATATTTACTCAGCGATTACAATTTTACTACCTGCAATTGCTATTATTGGTGCTTACGTTCGCATTTATGTTATTATTACTCATAAAATGGCAAACATATGTCTAGAAAAAAACCATCATTCCACCATATTACGCCGTAAGAAACGAGTTATATCGCAAATGGCGATGATGACAGGTATATTTATTTTTGCATGGGCTCCTTCAACAGTTTGTGTTATCTTAGGATATGAAGCTCCCCAAGTTAATGGCAATTATTCATTCGCTGTCATTAAAGAATATTCTGGCACTATTCTTTTACTCTACGGGATTATCCCTCCATTGCTTTACTGCCGCTACACTTCTGATTTAAAATCGGAAATTAAGAAGATATTGGGAATCAACAAACAATCTGCATCGATTATACCCAATCGTACCGTATCAACTGGCAATGGCTTAGCCAATTCACCGGTAGACTTGACAAGTTCTAAAAACGAATTATAAATCTTCATTTCACGCTAATGTTAATAAGTGCTGATAATAGTAAAAAAATGATCGATAACAGGTCTAGTTGTTGCCCTGTTTGATTTAATTTAATTCTAGAATCTGTTCAAATTTTTCGTTCCATAGCCAGTTATATCTAAATTTTTAATGGATAGATATATTATTTAGTTCTGCAATGAGATTAGTTCTTTATCTTTGAAATATCATTACCGTACTCATTTAAGAACTAGGAAATAACTAATAATATTGTTTGCATCGTTGGCACGGTCAGTAAAGAGGTCAGTTGGAGGAGTTCTCGAAGGAAAGAAATTAGATGATGATAGTAATAGGATCTTTTTAAATTATTGGTTCATGATGCAAAATTATTGATTAGTAATCTGAAAAATATATCTGTAATGCGAATAGTTTCGACGAGAAGGCAATATCGCTGCATCAATGTACATTTGAGACGATTTCTATCTTAAGATGCTGGACAGAAATTCAATTAATTGCCAGAAACTGTCGAATATTGTCAGATTATATTTGGGACTCTATTATCTAAATGAAATGAGATATGATCCATAATTACCGTAATTCTTTCATATACCATAGTTAAGTTAATTAGTAAGTAATTTAGTTGAAACTGCTTATCTGTGGATATGCGTCTACATATGCCCATTAAAAATTTTACTTTATTTATGACAGTCTTTTAAATTAATTGTTCTCCAATGAAATTATATGAGTGATTCTGATGAATGAGATGTTATGTTTCTGCTAAACATCATATTTAAATTTTATGTAAGAAATTGTATCTGTAATTAAAAATTTTGTCTTATTAAAGTGAAATTTGACCTATAGTCTTGGCTAACTGTCTTGAATAAAAGTCAATATTAAAATTAATATGGATTTTATTGCGCTGCACTAAAAGATCTATTTAAGGTGTTATTAATGTAGGACTTTGTGCCTATCTTGCTATAATTACTTATAGAGAATTGATTATTGATTTATTTTATTATAGATTCGAGTTAGAATGTGGAAACATTCAAGTAAAATTTCTTAATACTGTATATAAACAATGATACCAAAATATTTTAAAGGTTAAGACAGAGGACATCACATAAATATGTAATGGAGTATTTTAATGTATCATTCACTACTATTAATTAATTATCAACAGATAAATTTGGCGATTAGTATACTTTTAGAACGTTTAAATTCTATTACATTCTATAAGAGGCGCAGATAATGAAGTAGGAATTGTCGTCGTAAAGTATTATCCATCAGTACAGATAATCCGAGTATTAAATTATTGTTAAAGTTTCAGCAGGATCTAGTTACTATAATCTTTTGACAAATAAAAACTCTTTATATCGTAGAGACTAAAGATGTTAGTAATTTCACGCATAAAATTCGATATCTATATCAATTTCTTAATAGCAGATAGACAATAACGTGGTCAAAATATGCTCAGGATTGCTATAATGTATTATAAATTCCACGCTATGTTATAAGCTCAAAATCTGAACTATAATGTAATTGTGAGAATTATAGAATCAATGGCGGTAATCGAATTTAATACAATGTTAACGAGATAGCTAGAGTGAAATACATGAATTCTAAGTTATATATGAGCTTGATATTAATCATTTCAAATTTAAAATTTATACTATTGAAAAGTTATTGTAATTAAGCTTAATATTAATGAAAACAACCTCTTTCAAGATTATACAGTATATAAATAATTACTAAGTACGTTTTATGTATGTATTAGATTATCATCGAATAAATTGGGTATCATTTATAGGCTAAATAATTGCTAAAGCGTAAATGATTTATAGCGGACATGGCTGCTATTAAATTAACCTTGATCTCTGCATGATTGGCTGTATAGTATATTTAAAAGATTGCTCAGAACTCTAATTTCCTATAAAGTATACATATGTATATTCTGTCACTAAATATATCATCATTATTTTAATTAAAGATAAAATATAATGATAACACCCTATCAAAATAAGTTTGATAGTTATATGATAAAAATCGATAGCAATAAATGTACCAAAATATTGTTTTGTATCCATTTACTAATTGTATTTGATTGATTGACTTTACTTGCTTAAGTACAATTGGCAAGTTATTTTGCATACAGTTGCTAATTTATAATAGTGATATTTTGTGTTCGCTGATATCTATGGTTAAATATAATCTAGTTTAGATGCTGCGTATAGAAGTGTATCCGGGCAATATGTGTACAATACTATTTATTTGTTTTTTCTAATAGATATTTATTTTGATTGGGGTGATAACATATTTATAAGAGTTGACCATTGTCACTTGCCTATACGCTTTAAAATTAGTTTCATCTTATTCCGCTAAATATTTAAAATTACTTGAATATTAGCCTAATGATAACTCAGTAACTACGGTTTTATTTCCTTTTAAGAGTTAGAAAGATACTGTGATCATTTGTGTGATATTCTGTCACTCTTTAATTTGCATACTGTATTCAAAGCTGGATACCAATATTTCAAAGATTATAATCTGTTCCAAGCGAATCTAAAATATTTCAAATTTTTTCCCGAAATGTCCAGATAATCGATGCCATTAGAAAGTCTTTGGCCAAAGCCATTAAAACAATATTAGCGTAGCCGTAAGTAGACGCCAATATGTAGAAAGATCATCACCATATATATCAACAATCGACAATTGAATCTGTCTCGTCCCACTTTGTCTGATGTTAATTACAGGACATTACCTAATTAAGTTCACTTTTATTTTTACTGGTAGTTTTTCTGTATGAGATTATAGAGTATATCTCAACTTTAGAAGTTACAGCGAACTAAATTTTCCGGGCTTGCTTTAGATTGAATTATTGCAATCATTTAATGCAAAAATAACTATATGATTTCTAGTAATGTTGTTACCGTGCGATGTAGAGTCTATTAAACTTCAGTTGTTTGACAGCTATATTTGCTACATTAAAATAGATTGAGTCAATTTATTGCAAAATGATAATCATAGTAACACGGCCGTATACAGAATATGAGTATATATCTAATGAGTTAATAAAATTGTAATTAAAGCATGCAGTACTTAGCATACCATATTACTTAATTATTTCGTCAGTTTCAGCTGAAATTGAATAATTAGAATTTTTTTCTCTCCTTTTAAACAGATAATTGATGAATGTAAAATTGTTGTTATTATTAATAAGCACTATGTTATTGTCAAATTTTTCTTTTATTACCCGTTATATGCTGAATATATTACAATACTAGAATATTGGAGCCCTTTTTTATCTGTATCTATGATGAAGATATTTGCCTCTTAATGCCAGTTTTAATTGTTTGAGGCTCTGCAAAATTAACGTATTTGGTGATTACTGTAAACGTCATTCATGTCAATAGAATCGAGGAACCGCCTGAACCCTGACCGTCTGTAGCTTTGTTTACTAATTTCTTAATTTTTAGTTTTTGGTATTGTTCTTTAATGTGATGCGATCAAGAAGGCACACAAAGCGCGATGCTATGCAATATTATTTAAGAAAGAATGTGTACTTAATGTTGAAAGAATTGAAAGTAATTGCTCGATACTGTTTTAGGGTTAATGACTATTGATAAAAAATTTTTCTCAGCATGCTGTACGGTATGTCAGTGTAAAACCAAGATTTCTAAATAAAAATTTCATAAATGGGGCTACATATTTACATCAAAAAGGAAGACTGTCAGGGCAATATTGCCATTAAATGCTGATGTATCGATTACTTGTATATCGACAAGTATTTATTTCTGTAATGAGCTATAGTTTTTATAACATAATTTACGCATAGCTAAGGCCAATACGATTTTCAGATTTCATTTAAGAAATTTTGCAGAATATTTCTTGCGTCTGTTACTTTGTATATCATAGATAATGAATCCGTAATGAATCTAAAAGTTTATTTTAATTATCAGAATGAAATTAAATCATCTAGCTAAAATTTAGCCGTAAAATTATCAAATTAATAGTAAGTGAATATGTTCATTTCGATCTATACAGCATATGATTATTTTTAACTCTAGCGTTTTATTCTGGAAATTTTGAAGGGCTCTAGTAATTGATTCATTGTGATTTTACGCAGCCAGCTATGTTTTCATTTAAATTTTTCTCATTTAGTGAGCTTAAATGTTTGTCTACTGTATACCGTATATCTGAAGAAAATTAAAGCATTCGTTAAATTTTAATTATCAGTGTCTGACCTACTTGTATGAAAATAAACTAAAATACGAACTGTAAAGGCGTGTTCAAAAAAATTTATTATAATCAACGCTCTAATTGACTGTCGTTAACAGGAGCATTAGGACTAGCTGTTTCTGGTACAATTTTTTAGAATTTTATGGCGTAATATATTACTTGGTTAAATTTCTATACGTAGAGAATAAGTATTACCGCTATTTTTGCATGTACTTTGATATGGCATCTGTCACGGTACGAACTACCGTGAAGAAATAGCTATCTAAATTTGGTGAATATAATATAGTGATAATATATTACAACTGGTTACTTACAATAGGAAGTACTCTAATTATAAATATGTTACAGTAAATTTAATGCTGTGCTGTAATGTGCACTGAAATGATTCTGTGGATGGACATGTTGTAGTCCGACAGTGAAAAATTAGTTAGTAGATGTTCTCACCTAAGTATTTTTATAAGATGACTCATGAATGTTAGCTGCTGTAGAAGGGTATATAAGCCCGTCAGATAGTTGAATAAAGTAGTTCTCAATTGTCTAGTCGAGTTTAACGTAGAATCAAAGACGTCTAAATTCTTGTGAGTAGGGATACTGAATCCGCAGATTTTAAAGAAATTTAGAGATTTATTTTACGTTATCCTTGTCACGAAGCTGGTTTGTGACAGCATCAAATCAGGTGGGGATTGTTTGTAGAATGTATCGCTGTTTCATTGAAAAGGTATCGGATTCATGTCATAGGCTTAGATATCCAAGTAAATAACTACAGTCAATAGAGTGAGTAAAGCCTT